GGGCGGGCCCGGGGCCGCGTGCGAGGCGGCGGCCGCGGCGCGGGGCCGCTCGCGGGGATCCCCGGTGCCTCCCCGCGCCGCCGCCTTGCCCGCAGCAGCGTGCTCCGGTGGCGCCTTCCCGCTGGGAAATAACGCCAATAACGCGCAAAMACGGAGCCAGCCAGCCCCGGGGGCCGCGTGTGGGCACCGCGGAGGGAGCTTTTTAACTTCTCCTGTAGCATCCCAGGACTGATCAGAGCCCAGGAATGTCGGCCCTGCTCCGGCTGTGTGGGGTTCACCTGCAGCAGGGCTGCCTGCAGGCGCCGTCCCCCTGCTCCTGCTGCCCCTCATCCCCCTGCTCCCTGCATCTGCTGCCCCTCATCCCCCTGCTGCCCCTCATCCCCCTGCTCCCTGCATCTGCTGCCCCTCATCCCCCTGCTCCCTGCTGCCCCTCATCTCCCTGCTCCCTGCTCCTGCTGCTCCTTATCCCCCTGCTCCTGCTGCCCCTCGCCCTCCTGCTCCCCACTCCTGCGGCCCCTCGTCTTCCCGCTCCTGCTGCCCCTCATCCCCCTACTCCCCGCTCCTACTGCCCCTCGTCCAGGCCAGGAAGAGGCCAAGAGGGGCCTGTGAGTTTGTCCAGCCTTCTGCTGCTCGTGTCTTGTATCGGCACCTCTTGTATTAATCACAGTAATTTTTGYATTGCTATATAACTAGATCATCAGGGCGGCCATAGCACAAAAAAAAGTATATAGTAATATTAACCTTATCAGTCGCACTTAACAGTGGATGCTGCAGAGCATCAGATCAGTAACAAATTGCTAAAACAGAGCAGATGGCTTTGAAGGGTGATCCGGCCTAAGCGGCCTAATGATCAGGTCATAATCTTAGGGGTTTATGGGCCGTTTGGGTAGCAGAGCAGGGAGCATAACCCATGATGTTAAAACCACAAAGCCACATATTACACTCTTACTACTCCCTAGAGAAAACCAAACCATGTTACTGGGCAAACCTCCTTCTCTTCTAGTCACCAGCATTGACATTTTTTTACTGTAYGTGTTGACACTTGTTATAAGTAACCCAACCTTAATAAAGATGTCTGGAACATCATATTAAAAATAATTTGCTTAATGATCAAACAAGTGTACAGGGATAGGGGGGGACCCTCTAGGATACCCAYGTAGGCTGAGCTGGTGTGGGATTGAGCTAAACAGAGCTTCGATATTCCTGTTCATTCATTATTCTCATTAAGAATCGTGGATACATCATGTATATAATGATGCATGATAGCTATTAAGGATTGATTTGAACCGTCATGTATCTTAGKAGAAAGCAGTAAAGCTGGCTTGGACTTGAGCCTTTGAGCTTTCCTCCTTGATTTCTCCGTTACGTGACTTTCCCAGGTAATATCAATGAAGTAATATACCAAAATAAGCAGTCTTCCTTCAAAAATCTCCCCACAAATTGCTTTCCTGGGATATCGATACTTAGGAAAAATTCAGGTTTGAAGCACGCCTTTAGTTCAAAGTTCTTATAAACAGAGACCTCCTGCTTAAAGAAAAGAAAAATCACATCCTAGTGCTACAACASAGGAGCCCAAGGAGGATTTGCTCCCACTGTGAGAAAATCTGCCCTGTTGAATGTTATCCCGTTCATCTCAGCATCCGTCTCATGTTTTCCAAAGATAATATACTGCTACTTCTGAATTTCCAAGCCAAGTCACCGAGGTTGTGGTGGCTAATTGTGGATTGGTGGGATAATTCATTATATTAATTCGTAATTCATGTAGGAAGAGTGTCCCATATTGCTGTAGCTGGAGGGAGGGCTGCTTTTCAGCTAACTGTGTAGTGATGATGGGCAGGTAGCCCCAAGCTCTCAGTGACAGTTAACATGACTTTAGAGGTTCACCTTTCAAAATACATAGCGAGTCTGTGGCATCACTAGAGCAGAACATGCCTGAGCAGCCTGAGTAGCTACTAGCTAGATGCAGAATTACCATTATTGTGCAAAAATTCGTGCGCATATGTGACTTGGAACTAATACTTGAATGAGAGACCCCCGCATCCGGGAGGAGGGTATCCCAGTGCCGGCAYCGCGCGCAGGAAAGCCAGGACATTCCCAGCACCCTCCCGGGACAGCAGGGTCCACCGTGGCCTAAGGCAGCCCCTTGCCCAGGCACTGCACAAGGCCTCTGGTGCTGCTTAATGACACCCTCTTTTCCTCTGCGTTACAGATCCGGGACATCTACCGACTATTTTGTTTTGCTTTGATCGCTGAGCCTCGAAGACGGCAAACATGGCACTGGAGGATATCCACATGAACACCCAGGACTTGATCGAGAAGCAACAACTGGATGCCGGAGGGTTTGGAACAATTTCTTTATGCTTTCACAGGAAACATGGATACGTAGTATTAAAAACAGTGTACACAGGACCCCAGCGCACCGAGTAAGTTACAAAACGAATCCTTGTTCAAGTTTATAKTCTTCAGGCAGACTAAATAATTTTTTAAATCCAGTGGAGATAAATCATAATAAAGTGTTGCTGTTTAAAATCCCTGGATCAAGGAAATACTGTCGATGGGGAAAACGATGCATGCAATACAGTACTAGCAACTGTCCTGTAAGTTTTCTTGTTTTTCCCCACAACTTTTGAAGCGTTTTACCTCATTCTTATGGTGAAGTTTCTGTTTTCTTTCGTAATGTGAGCGCTGTTGGTGGGGATTGTTAAAAACGGAGGGGCTTCAGAAGGCCTAAGGGAATGCAGAGCTCAGCAGGTACAGGTTATTTTTAAACTTGCATGTTAAGTTGCACTGCAGTTATGCAGCTGCAGTACAGTAGGAGGTAAACSTGAGTTATTCCGAGGTGTCAGACTCCTTGAGTTAGAGTGTGAACCAAACCCAAGAATTGAATTAGCTGTTGGTTTTAGTGGATTCAGGTCAAGTTCTGGGTCTGCTGCCTCACAGCGATAACAGTCCTAGAGCTCTTCCATTAGTTATTCTTTAGAGAGAGAGGAGGACTAACGTTCCTCTAGTTTGAATTATGAAATACAAATGATAGCAATTGAGTTTTAATTTGCACAAAAGAAAGTGAATTAAGAGATTCTGATAGACCACAGCGCTTAAAATGGACAGTTTTCTCCTCCAGCCTGCTGGATTTTGTTGTTGTTGTTCTCTTTTTTGGTTTGCTTTGCTTAGCTTTGCTGTCATTTTTTCCCCTGTCCCCCAGTGCTTAGATCTGTTGTTCCTTAAAGCTTTGAAGCAAAAGTCTTGAACGAGCACAGACCAAGCAGCGACTGTCTTTCCTGCAGCAGGAGAAAGCCCTTTCCGCTTTAAGTCCCAGCGTAGGGAAGCGTCAGGGAGCAGTACGGCTGAGATTTTACTGCTTCCTCTTGCCTTGCGACTAGAGCAGCAGCAGCAACCAGGGCACCACGCACTTAAAGGCATGGCCACGAGCCTGTTTCGGGGCCTTTGGGGGGCTCCAGCACCACCACTGTGTTGTGCCGAGGCCCAGGGGATGTGTTGGGCTTCCAGTTTGTTTCAGAGCGGTTCACCTGAGCCCAGGCTGCAGGGGCCCCGTGCGCTGGGCAGATCTGCCTGTGGTGAAGCCGTTTCGAAAGTGAAAATGAATGCGAGCCCTTCAGGAAGGAGACGTTTCTTTGCACTTGCCTGTACAGGATGCAGCAGGTCTAGGAGTGGAGTTTGTTTTGATCTGTTTTCCAGCGGCACTTCCAGCCCTCCCCGTGCCTTACTGGGGGATTCGGATGCAGCAGGCAGATGGCAGTGCTGCTCTCTGGAAAGCAGCCCCTAACGCACAGCTGCCCCACAGAAGCCTGCAGGGATCCTCTGCACGAGACGTCTGGGAAGACACAYGGAAACGTAACCTGGAATAAGCAAAGCTGTCCCTGCTCAAAGGCAGCTGAAGGCCTGGATCACCTTGCAGTGGCTCTCAGGGTGTTGACATTTTTGACCGTTATTTTCATTATAACTCAACAGCTTTTTCCTTCCTCTGTTCTTTCTAGCCCGGCACCTAAATTTGGTATAATTTCTGTTTTGCAGATACAATGCGTCCCTCCTTGAGGAAGGCAGGATCATGCATAAACTGCAGCATGACCGAGTGGTAAAGCTACTAGGTATAATTTTGGAAGATGGAAACTACTCACTGGTAATGGAGTATGTGAACCGGGGCAACTTGATGAAAGCTCTGCAGAAAGTGAGCAGTAAATGGAATYGTTAATTACCGAATACTCACGCTGCGTACGGTTGATGTTTGAAGGAGACAACGTGTTGCTTCCACCTCCARAGGGTGGATGGAGGCTCTAACCTCTGCCCCTTCTCCCTTCTGAGGGGCCCGTGGCAGCTCTGCTTTCTCTGGGGACCGCAGAGGACGGTGCCTGTGGCTCGCRGGTCCAACGTGGTGGAGCTCACCAGAGATACGGAGTTCGGGGTCCTAGAGGGTTTTTGTGGAGAGTTTGGGGAATTTGTGATGTAAGAAATGTGGGGTGGCTCTGGATTTATGTTGATGTGGGTCCTAGAAGGACCCTTGTTCATTTTTATTAATCTGGCTTGAGTGAGACTGAGAAAGACTCTCTCAGAGAGCCTGAGAGAGAAAAGAAAGAAAGTTGTCTTTGACGATTCTTTAATAGTTGTAGTAGTTATAGCAGCACATTTTTTAATGGGCAGTATTGTTTTTTTCTTTATTCTAGCTCTCCATGCCTGTGTCAGTGAAAGGGCGCTTTGTGCTGGAGATCACAGAAGGAATGCTTTACCTGCACGAGCAAGGCTTGGTACATAAAGACCTAAAACCAGAAAACATCCTTGTGGACACAGACTTCCACATAAAGGTACTTTTTAGGTTGTAAAATGAATCGTGTTGGGGTTAAAGAGCCCAGTTCAGCCACAGTGGTTGTTATTGCTGATTCACAGATGAACTCCTGTAGTCCAGCAAGCTACAGRTAAGGCAGTGTTAGCAGCAGGCATTGGAGCTGGCATCCTACACAGCCTCTGAGCCTTCCCTTTGCACAGTCTTCTCTGGCTTCCTTTCTTCTGCCATCTGTGAAAACAAAAATCACTTAGGGATACTAGAAAAGAATGAATAAAGCTGTTGAGAATTAATGAACTACAAATAAAAAAAAAACTAAAAAAAAGAAAACATCAAACCTTAATGCACACTGTTTGAACCAAAATAAGACGTCTTAGTGATCATATCTTTTGTCCTCCATTGCAGTAATTTCTCCTCCTGCTTGTACCTCTTCATTTTCTTTCTTTCTTTTGCCTATTATCTTTTCTTCTTTTGTCTCCCTCTTTTTCCCTTAGTCCTCATTATTAAATGAGAGCCACCAGCTACAAAAAAAGCAGCAGGAGATTCCTTCAAAGAATGACTCCTAAACCTGTCCCAAAGCCCTTCTCTTAACTTGAGCAGGCTTTGGATCGAGACTCGTACATGTAGACCCTACTGCAGAGTAAGCCTGAGTAAAATCTGCAGCAGTCCTCAGCAAATGCCCTCTCTCTGGTCAAGGTGAGTTGCAGAAATAAACACTCCCTTATAGTATGAACCTACTGAATGAATTCCCACAATTTGTTATTTCTTGTGGATAAAATAGTGACAATTGACATGACAAAGTCAAGATGTTAGCAGATGATAGTGATGTATGAGCATCTTGTAGATAAGAAAGAGAAGCTGTATTACATTTTTGGGGGGGGGAAATGAGCTCYTTACGCACTTTAAAAGCTCTTTATGCACTTTTATGGACTTTTTCTTAGTTTTCAGCTTGCTTACAYGCACAAAATCAAACTGTCCTGTCATTATGCTGTTTGGCCAACTGACATGGAATCCTGGARTCCAGGATCACATTCAGAAACAAATTATACTTCCTTGAGCAGTTTGATAAGTGTCAYTTAAGATATTTATTGGATCATCTGCCTACTTAAATGTGTCCAATATGGTTAACATTTATTAAAAGAGCCAGTTTTTCTAGGAAACTGCAGRTTGTCAGAGGTTTCTATTGAGTCCTTCTGTGTCTTATCAGGCATCCTCTCACTTGCACACATGAACTGGGACAGCTGCTTCCTCAGCAGGTTGTAACTTAAGTTTTCCTCTTCTCCTGAGCACATCACCTCTAAGAAAGAGGTTGGCCCAAAGCTTCAGAAACTAAAGAAACAATAGGGTAGCTAAAGGCAGCAAGAGAGATGWGCGAGAAAAATGGTGAAGAAGTAAGGCAGGGTGTCACTGCACTTGTATCTGAGTTAAGATTGTGTTATGTAACTAATTCCATTTAAAAGCATCTGAGAGAGGCAGGCCCCTTTCTCATTTGCCTGTCCTGCTGCCTCCCTGCTCCCTAGTGCTGGCACTGCTGTGATCCGACATCACCGCCTCCTCGCAGCGGGTCGGAGGCCAAGGCGACAGCCTGGGGCAGCTCGGGGGGCAGCCCTGGGCTCGGCCAGCTCCTCGTGCCCTCCTCTCCTTGCCCGGGAAGTGTCGGTGCTGAAGCTGCAGGAGCAGTGGAGCGCGTGGCAGGAAGCCCTGGGGAAGGCAGGAAGGATTAACCTCCTCCAGTATGAGGCATTAGTTGCTGCACTCGTAAGGATTCAGTGAAGTTAAGCTCATGATATCCAGATACCCCCGCTTTAACTCTCTCCTCCTCCTAAGTTATTCCATTAACTTGCATGCTTTTCCATGCCTCTTTGGTTTGACATCGGGCAAACTTGGAGCATCTTCTGCCTCCCTTCTGTAGGAAYGTCTAAGGAAGTCTGGTTAAAAAGGAGTAAAAATGGAAAGAGAGTGGAGCAAAGGCACTGGCATCTTGCCGATTCCCTCTGAATTTGAATTCACCAGAATTCACCAGGTKGCAGTTCAAGCAAGTCTTGAACGTKATTGCCAAGATGAGCAAAACTTTGCGTTTGTTTGCATTGTGATGTTGCTYCCAGTGGGGTTAAGTTTCTAATGAAGGTTCAGACCGATGGCTCTTGTTTGGCAGTGCTGTGCCACTTAAGCAAAAAATAAAAGGCAGATGGCATAATTTCCTTTCTTGTAGTTGCATTGTTGTTCTAGTAGCATTTCTAGATCAATAGTAGTAGATGTTATCATCTACTCATTATGAATGTATGAAATGCTTGTTTATCTCCTATGAGATAAACAGGAGATACGTGTCCTRTCTCCTATGAGATAAAGCAGGAGTGAATAGGATGTGTCTTTTTTCAGATTGCGGATCTCGGTGTTGCCTCCTTTAAGAACTGGAGCCGGCTGACCAAAGAGGAGACCATCCGCCAGAAGCAAATCAAGAGCGCTCCGCAGGGCAACGCGGGCACTCTCTTCTATATGGCCCCAGAGCACCTGAGGTCTATTAACGTCAAACCTGTGGAGAAGTCGGACGTTTACAGCTTTGGCATAGTGATTTGGGCAATTTTTGCTGACAAAGAGCCGTATGAACGTAAGTCGGCTGCAAAAAGCCAAAATTAACATTAAATGCTTACCGTTCGTAATATGAAGTTGTGAAATAAATAGCAATAAACTTGCCTGKGCCAAAGAAAAGCTCCTGCTCAGCAGCAGATGGCCAGTAAGAGGCGTCCTTTCATCATTCCTGACTTTTGAGTGTAGACAAGGACATCTGCTTTGCACTTGAAATGCAGGCACGAGCCCAAGCTTGAACACACGATCTATGCACATCCACGTAGGGTAGTTGGAAACCTCCASTCCATGGCAAAGGTTACACACAACTTGGGCATGCCGGGATGGCAGCCCTCATGGGTGCTGTGTCCTGATATGGGCTCGCCACATTTCTTCTTGGTTTTGCCAGGAACATGCACATATTGAGCTCTTGCTTCTTCTGTGTGATGCTAATTTCTCAAAATAGGCTAGTGCAGTCACATAGAGCAACAGAAGCAGAGCTTGGAATTCCAGAGAAGGAGTTTATGCTTACCATTTTGAAAGCTTTTTATTAGCTGGAAGGCTAGTAGTTGTCCATGTGGCCATCCCTGGGTTCTTAGCAAGTGCAGAGATCCATGTTCTAGAGGTGCAGATCTGTCACCTGTACTCTGAATTACCCTTACACTGAGTGAATGTTTAGGTGTGAGATATTTATATATGCAACTCCAGCATCCTTCCTTGAAATCTTCATTCACCATATCCACAAAGACCTGGGAAACTAACTCACTCTATCCTTTACTTTGAAAGAGGCAACTCTTTGGGATATCAAAGCCTATGAGCAGGGCCTGATACGAAATTTTGTTTTKCAGACGGTATAAATGAAGCTCAGATTTGCTTTGGCATCATTCATGGGAACAGACCAGACATTAAAGAGATTATTGAGAAATGTCCGGAGGAAATTATTGACTTAATGAAGCAGTGCTGGGCGCAAGAGCCAGAGAAACGGCCAACCTTTGCAGGTGAGACTTCCTTTCTGTTACGTGTCCATTGGTAGTGAGTAATAGCAACCCATCTGTTTACATAGCCTGTGTGGTCTACTGCCACTTCTGTGATCAAAAGAATTGTATTTGGTTGAACACTTAAAGATAGGAGAAATTGTGTTGACTAGATAGAGCTGAGACRCTGGACCTGCTGAGAGAATGTCCTGTGGAACTTGCTTTAGAAGCTGTCCCAGTTTCACCTTTTGTGAGTGATGAAATAGCTGTAAACTAGCCAGTTATGTAGTCAGATGGCAAAGCAACTGAAGTCAATAAAAGGCGTAAAACTGGATTGAATTGTCTGGAAAAGAGACAAAGCACATTTAGCAAAACAAGCCAATAATCTTGATCTCTTTTTGCTGCCTTTTCTCTCTGCGAATATACGTTTGCCTCAGCCTCAGCATGTTGTGACAAAAAAGAAGAACTACATGTGACAGGAAATGGAGTTTTCAATTTAGATAGGGGCTCAAGAATTTAATATTCGGTGGACGTAGACTGCAGTGTTGATAGGAAATTGTACCAGGAGAAATTTTACTTTTTACTATTTATTTATTTTTACTATTTACTATTTTACTATTTTACTATTTTACTATTTTACTATTTTACTATTACTTATTTACTATTTACTAAAAAATACTATTTTTACTATTTATTACTTTTGTATTTCATCTACATAGTATACTGCTAATGTATTGTTTATCGTTCACAGTAGCTTTCAGTAGCTGATTCTTCCATCTGCAAAATGCTGCTGTCTACCATTTTTATAAATTCTTTCCATAATAATTCAACTATGCAGATATGCATGTGCAGATATGATAGTTGTTAATCAAACAGCTAAGTACAATTGAATATGTCCAGTTTTTAAAACAGAGGTACCCAATTCTTTCGGGGAGTCAAGTCAATGAAAGGACAATCAGCCACAGAGCATAAACTGAGCACTTTTACTCTGAAAAAAAATGCAGAACCGCCTTGCAGGAAATGCAGAAAAAGCAGTAACAAAAGTTCATATTACTGTATTAGGGCTAAACCAGCCCTGTGAACACAAGTTAAGGCATATATTTAATGTGTGTATGTGTGTGTGCACATTGCTGTTCCTGACTTCATTCCTGACTTTGTCAATTTTCCTCTATTAAAATTGTTAAGCAGTATAATTACTTGTATTTTCTATTGAAAAGCACTTTCACACAGCATTTTTTTTTAACAGAAATTTGTGAAGAGTACAAGCCATTTTACTATCAAAATTTACAAAAAAATGTTGAAGACGATCTAAAAAAGTTACAAGTGAGTAGTTTCCTAAGTTCTTTAAGATGCTAATTTCCCCACATCTCCTATCCCCTGGCCCCAGTACGGGGCCAGATTCTGCYACTCTGATACTAATCATACCTGACCAACCTGACTGCCTTCTGGGATTAAATACCTGGATTTGTGGATGAGGGTGAGTCATGGATGTGATTTATCTAAACTTTAGCAAGGCTTTGATGCTGGCCGTCAGAATATTATGGTCTCCCAGTCAGGATGTTCCAGTCTGAGTGGGTTAGAAACTAGTTGGCCAATGTGGCTCTGAGGCAGTGGTTAATGGGTCCTGCTTAGTGGGGGGCTGGTGGAAGGCAAGGGTCAGTGCTGGGACCTGCCCTGGCCCCGAGGTGACAGTGACCTGCGGGCGGCAGGTACGTGGTGTACCCGCTGGAGCTGGAGCACATGGCTGGAGCCATGTGGGGGCTGGAGCACGTGGCTGCAGGGGACCTAACAGCAGCCCCTGAGCGCCTGCAAGGAGTCTGAGAGCAGCCAGCATGAGACACAGGGCATGTGTTGAAATAGGAGATACAGCCTGGAAATACGGGGAGAATCTCTTTCCCCCTTGAGGACAGTCAAGCATGGAGCGAGTTGCCCAGGGAGGCTGCACAGTCTCTGTCCTTGCTGGTTTTTGGGACCTGCCTCTGCGACAAAGCTCTGAGCGACCTGGTCTGATCCCAGAGCTCTGCGCAGCAGGTTGGACCAGAGACCTGCTGAGGTCCCTCCAGTCCGTGTGACCCCGTGATTCTCTGATAGTGCAAGACCCTGAAAAAGCCCCTCCAATAAGTCTCACTCATGGAATGAAGTATTTTTTCTCAGAGATTCAGAAGTGGCAGGATCTGATTTAGACTAAGTGTGAAATATCCCATAAATACATGTTGATTTATTTAATACGTGAAAGTTTGTCCTGTGTTGGACAGCATCTTAGTGAGTACCAGCAGGTGGAGACCATGAAGCTACACAACAGTAATACAAATTCGAGAAATTTGAAGACTAGCATTTTTTCTTAGTGTCTAAGTTAGCCCCTCTGCTTTTTCTACATACAGATTTACAAGTTATGGTAAATAGATTAATTTTATGACAGAAAATAATGATTAAAAATACTTCTTGATTAATGTTTTTGGCTCATTATGGAATCCTTTTTTTTCACAGATTGTAAGTATGAGAAAATTACCAATTTATTTAAACAGTACCAACAGCAAGCAGTGAGAATGCCCGAAATTAGGAGCCCAATCTGTGCAGCAGTGTGAGGCTGTAAAGTGTAGACACTCAGTTATTGTAATTAAGAAAAAGAAGGCCACACTTTCTCTGTGAAATAATTCTTTTACAGTTTTCATTAAAGTGCTTCCTTCTGTCACTAGATCTGTAACTGTGGCCATGCAAGTTTCTGGTTTGGAAAACATGCAGTGTTTGCAAAGCGTTGTTTGATGAAACAAATAATAGATGTACTGGACTTAGCCAAACATGATGTGAAATATGAATGTCATTTTGTGACGGCAGCCTCAAGTCAGGATTGGGGCCAGTTGCCCTGGATGCCTTAGTTCTTGGCCAGTCATAGGCACCAGCTGGCTGCTTTGAAAATGGGCTTCAGATCTCAACCAGGAGAGCTGCTCTTTGCAGCAGGGCACACAGTGAGGGGCACGGAATGAGAGCACAGCATCCAGACAGGGCGATGTGCTGAGCTACGAGCTCGCCTCTGTTAGGCTCATGGGTTAAGGGACTACAGGGTTTGGGTTTTGGGGGTATTCTTTTTGCTTGTAATCATGGAGGCAGAGGCYACAGCCTTCCCAACACTTGTGAAATGTGCCACTGTTCAGTTACTCAAATAAAATCTAAGGACCTAAGGTTGTAGTGAGCTTTAGAACATCATCTTTTCCTGTGGAAAGAGAGTGAATTTGTGGGAAGAGATGAACAGGATAAATCCTGAGCCTTCTCTCACGGCGATTGCTTGAAGAGGAGTCTGACTGTTAAGTGCAAGACAGACTAATGCTTTCCATACAAAAACTGTACGTTTGGAGCAAAACATGCCCATGTGAGCAAGGGTATCGTTTGGCCGGCTCACAGGATCACACACTGCAGTTGTACTGGAGCCTTTCCCCTCTTCAGTGAAAGAGGTTTTTTGTTGTTGTTTTTGTTGGCTTGTTGGTTTTTCTCCTTTGCATCTTCACCAAAGCAGTGAGACTTTCCTGCCAGGCTGTGGTCTCTGAAAAAGAATGAAGTTGTTCCTTCTGGTCACGTCCCTGTAAGACGTGCTTCTTCTTACCACAAAGATACTCTCTTTGGTTTAACCTTCATCTGTAACAAAAATCATTTCTTCTTTCTTATGTGCAGAAAATGTGGCCTGAGCCAAATGAACTGCTCACCAGGATGCAATCCCTTCAAGTAGATGCTGTAGCAGAAGGTAGCAGTAATGGTCAAGTAGGTGAGTGTTGCAAGTCGCTAGCTAGCACATCATTATGCCATATGCTATGCTTAAGATAAAGTCATGAACGTACAGAATTTATGAGGAATTTCACCAGTAAGTGTTTTGAACAGATGTGGTTATTTTGGACTTTAGAGAATTGTATTCACTTTAAAGACTGAGTTTGTTCCTAGACTCCTAAAAATTGTATTCATTGTTTCAAAGTTTCCATCATCTACAACTTGAAGCTCTTTTATTTTATATTCTTCTGCTTTCATCTCCCATGCAGAAAGTTCCCTTTTACATTTGATTTCTTTAACAGTCACTTTGATAATTACTTCTCATACTTGATCTTTCTCCCCTCTTCTTTAGCCATACCAACAGACTTTTGAGTTTTCTGCAAACTTCAGTTCCCTGAAGACTTTACTTCTTCCCACTCGAGCCTTTATACAAATGTTCTGAATGCAGCTAGGACTTAGGATTAGAAAGTACTGCTTTTTATGAGCCTGCTGTTAATCAAATCTGTCTAAGCAATACTAATAGATGAGTCTTCTCTTCTTTTGTCATACTTTCTATTAAGACTTGCTCAAGTTGCATGTCTCACAGTTTATAGAGCTGCCTCATTAGTATGTCATGATTAGTTAAAGTTTTGTGGTAATATATCAAGAAATCTTTCACCAAAGTTTCCTAGAGACAAAGGGTATGGAATCTTATTCACAGCACAGACTTGCAAGCAGCTTTAGAAACTTCAGTGGAAGTAAAATGCTGCTAGTTTGCTCAGCCCCTTTTAAAGATGRAATTTTAGGAGAATTTTAAAAGAATGATGTTCAAGTGTAACATGCAACCATTAAATCTTCTCTAAAGCTTTCCATAACTCTTCAGGAGTACTCATGGATTAGTAGGGCGGCCCCACCACTACCTTTTTAAATGAGTACAGCTGCATTTCCTTTGCAGAACTAGTCAAGTGTGACTGCAGCAGTTACAGGTGCTCTTCTGCCTCAAATATGAAAGGTTCTGTTGTGAATCTGTGCTGCAGAAAGACAGTGTCTTGTCAGCCTGTCAGTCAAAGCCGTTTTATTTCTCCCGTCAATGGGCATTACTCAGCTACTGGCAGTGACGGGTGTCCCGGAGGAGCTGCTGATCTAGCTCAAGCTTACTGGCGAGAATGGCTGCCGTTGTGGTACTGCAAGATTGCTCCTACCCTCCAGTTTTGGTGAGGTTGTGTCTGTATTAGCTTATTCCTCCCACTCCCCACCCAGCACTGTTAGCAGTAGAAATAGAGCGAGTGCRAAAATGCACATTGTGCATGTGTCCTACTACGCTACCATCAGAAGGAAACAGTTTGCGTCCTGCCTAGTCTGGACAGAATTTATGTAATTTGAAGATAAACAGTTCACTGGCATTATCAGAGCTAATCAGAAAACATAAAATTTATGGCACTTTTACAGTGATTTGTGAGTATCACTTGCTTCCAGCAATGCACAGGATTTTCTAGACAACTTTGAAGCTATCAGAGCTCTTTAAGAAAGCCTCTTCAGTCCTGCACTTAAAAAAAGAAAAAAAAAAGATAACAGGTAGTAACAAGCAGATTTTTGTGTTCTTTTTTTTTATTCTGGAAATGCTGCAATGTGATCTAGGTCAGAATGCAAAACAGTCCCATTCAGGACTCAGGTAAAGCTTTCTTTGATACTGAGAGTTAGTTTGAAAGATTTAGGTTTAGGTTTGAAAGATAAGCTCCTTTTTATCTGGTAGATGTTACTTGTGAAAACACACTCTTTGAGACTCTGGAGAACAAACTAGACAAAATAAAATGGATCAGTCAAGCCTCCTGAACTACCCAGAGTGATATTTTGCAAAATTATTTGAAAACATGACCTTAATGACATTTTTTCCTTATGCTGTATGGAATAACCCCATGTTCCAGTGGGTCCTATCCACCATTGTGTTAACACTCCAATTTTGTACTAAACTTAACYAAACTTATGTTAATGCCAATAAAGRCTTACTAGYAAATCAGACCGAGCACGTGCCTCCAGAAACCTTTGAGAGAAGGCTGAGAACTCGACGTCGATATAGCTGGACTATGCAGTGACTCTGACGCCACTAAAGTGAAGGAGATTTTGCCAGTGGCAGCTTGAACAAGCCTGTGCTTTGTAAATAACGATCTGAAATCCTTTCGTAAAAAGTCATTATAAAGTAAAACATTGATTATGATGCAGCTTATTCACATTTCATAAATTACCATAATATGAACAATAGCTTAGTTGGTTCCAGTGTCATTGCAACAAGTTATGTATTTCCATTAGGATACATTTCATATATTTAATTTTCCTCCCTTTCAGATCAGCCTCATTCTCTACACAGCTCTCAGGGTCCCCTGACCAGCCAGGTGGACGAATCCCTTTTTGCTGCCTGTCCTGAGAACGAGCCTGTGGAGAGCTGTGAGACCTCRTTTACGCCTGCTGAGAACCTGGAAAGAAAACTGCAGCAAGAATACAACTACCATGTCTTCGGCAGCCGGATGGATAAATCAGACCCTTCGCCTTTGGTATACACCCCTGAAATGAGAGAGGAGGAAAGGAGACGAAGAGTTTCCTATGATCCATTTGCAAAGCCATCTTCTGCTCTGCAAAGGAGTGAACTCTATCGAAGAGCTGAAAGCACAGGCTCAAACACTAATCCTTATTTTCAGGCACAGCCAGCTATATCACCACCAATATGGGGAAATTTAGGTGTTTTTTATGGGCCAAACCCTAACAGTTTCCTAGCAGGAAACACAGAGGATCTGTATGGATCATGTGCAGTCACCCCATTTAGTCTGACTAAACCTCCTGTGCCTGAAACCTTCCCAAACTCGAAGTCGCACAGCTCTGCAAACTGGCATCCAAAGAATGCAGACGCAGATACAGGTAAGGCTCTTTCTCCTCCTCTGTGTCTGAAAGCCCACTTGTTTTCTTAAAAATGAAACCCGAAACTACTAACACTGATCTGGGATTCAGCAAGATCTTATTTACTTTGCCAAGATCTCTTTTTGTACTTAATGTCATTTTGGGTCACTCAAATGCTCTGGTTTTGATTTCCTTAAACCTGTTTTTACTGATCTTGGGCCATTGACTTCAACCAAATAATTTCTAAAGTGCTAGAGTAATAGAGGGGCTTCAGAGCCAGTGCTCGACTCCTTAGCTACCAGCTCAACAGCAGCAACCAACAGCGGCAGCAGCCGTGGTGAGAGCACCAGAAGCAAGAGCTGTTCCCAGCCATGCTCAGCAAGTAAAGACGTACCACAGAATGTGACATTGATACCATGCATGTGCAGAAACCAAGGTGCACTCATGCACTGGTTTCTCCAGAGAGCTCTCTCCAGTGCTATATGGGGAGCTTCACTCAGGATTTGCTAGTGAACTATAGAATAAGAAGGTATGGAAGCACAGCAAGAATAGAGTACTGAGTTTAGCAAAAAGTAGAAATAAGTGGTCAGTAACCAGAGGCATTAATCATGTACCTTTTAGGAACTGGGTGTAGTAGGAGATATTTTAGTCTGCTTCTACTAAGGTACTGGCTATTTTTAATGTGGCATTCCTTTCCAGAGCTTCTCACAAGGAGATCAAGGAATGCCTGGCTCATTATCAAGTATAATGGCACAAAGATGCCATTCTGTTCAATTATGTATGCAGGGGCTGTCATTAGTTGCTTACTTGAGTTTGCTTGCCGACATGAATCTGAGAGCTGTCATGTCAGGAGGAAAGGATTAGAACATCACTAATAAAATAAAATCCTTTGATTAAAAAAAAAAAAAGAAAAAGAGAAGGAAGTTATTATAGGGAGAGAGCATGCAACAGTATAGGAGATGTCAGCCTGAATTTTAGAAGACGTGTATGGTAGCTCTCCCCCTTGACTTTCTGGGCACAGTAGCCTAGTCACTCGTAGTGCTCCAGTGTGAATTGCCATAGCTCATCTGGGAGCATATTAAGAAATTGCTACCCCAAGGAGAAGGTCACATCTCTGCCAGATATAACTGTCCCCAGCAGAAGGTGCAGGGGTGTCCCGTTTCTTTACTACAGCAAGTCACGTCTGTTGTGCTAGCATGAACTGCARTCACTGTCAGCTGGAAGCAGGAGCAGCCCTTTGGGGAGCTTTCCRGCTTTGGAACGTGCCAGTGTGGATCCCTGACACGGGCAGCGCCGTCCTTGGCCGCGCTCTGGCCCTGTGCAGCCCTCTCCTGGGCGGGTGTTGGGGCCCCCGTGTGCAGCACCCACCTCCCGACGGGGCCGCTCGGCGCTGCCGTGCAGTCACTGAGCAACCAGGGCGATGGGAGTCGCATTAGCTGAAGTTATTCAAGGGGATGAAGTCCTGCTCATTAAGAGGCTTCCTTTGCTGTCTTTTTGCATATAATAGCAGAAGGTCTATACCCATACTATTAAGTATGTTTGCTTTTTTTATATATTATTCTCTGATTCTCCTCAGTATTTCAGTCAGCGCTTCTGTTTTTTCTCTTTGTTTAGGTAACAAGGATTCCAATTCTTTCACGAGGGGGAATTTTGCCTATTATCCTAACCCACCTCAGTTAACCAGAATAAACACAGGCAAGTGCTATAGCTTTATCTGTCCCGGTAGCCAACAGGGCATGCATTGCTTCTTGAGCAGGAACGCGATTATGTCCAGCGCCTTTATGTGACTGCTTACTATCTCTAACCACAGCAGAACTTAGCACTAYCAGTTTCTAGAATTAATTTCATTCTCTAGCAAGGCATAGATTCACATTCAGAGGTGAATATATATTTGATGGATCAAGAACTTTATGCTCTCTGACATAAGGTAGCTGTAAAAAATAATTAAATAAATAAGAAGGCATTGTGCTGGCGTCTGTACTTCAGTTTTAGGTATATGTTGTGTTACTTGCCATTTAGACTAGCATTGGAACATWTAAAAAAAAATTATGCAGGCAGACTTTGGCAAACTATCAAAAGTATAAAAAAGTGATGTCACCTAACAGGACAAGTTCTAGTCCTTTCATTTCATTCAGTGTGTGTGCTATTTGGACAACTGCAAGCAAAAGATACCAGACTAGGCAAGTGGGCTACAGATGCAAGCTCTTAGAGGTGCACACAATTCAGCTGGGCATTTGTTCACCCATTCTTGCAGGTACACCTTGACTTTGTTGCTCTGAGGTTACGGTCTGCAAGTAAATGTGCAACTGTATTCCATTAGGTATCCTAGAAAATGTGCTGGTCTTGGTGTTACATCCAAAACAGCAGAGTGGATATAAAAATCTTCAAAAAGGTTGTTGAAACGAAGACTTGATTTCCTGTGCAAATAGATAAAACTGAGCACTAGATTTTTATATGCAGGAATGAGCTATATTGTGAAAGTGATGCCAACAAGACACCATAGTAGAACATGAAATATGGATAACTTAGGAGCAATCAATAGTGATTCTCTGTAGTCTGTGATTAATAGAGCCTTCCTCCTTATCCGTCACATGTCACTTGATATTTGGAACCATATGCAGTTGTTGATAAATTTGTGTTGATTTCCCTTATACAGACGATTCTGTCAAATACAACATAACTAGCTGTACTGGAATTCAAATCGGATCCCACAATCTAATGAAGATTGACGAGCAGAATCAGCACATAAGCACTTCTGCTGTCATCCCAGAAACATCTTATTCGGATTATGAAGCAACGGGTATATTTGGTAAGAGACATAGCTCCCGATTTTGGAATATTCTCCCCCTATAGTGTACCTTTGAGACTGTCTTACTTTGGAATGTGTGAAAGCAGAACAGCTTTCTCCTTCCTTCTGATACCTGAAAAATGACTCCGTGGGTCCTTTCCTACTGTAGCATAACACTCAGCCCTGCATAAAGCAAATAATAGTTTGTGCTGGTCCTGTTCTGCTATACTAACTGGGGACCTCATTTGTGTAGTAGTTTCATGATGTCATATGAGACAGCAGATGCAAGTATGGATGTGTAGGCATCAGGAAGCAGAGCAGTAATGACTGTAGACTCAATAGAAGCAGTGTCCAGGTTAATGACCCTCCCCTGACCTGTGATTTTAATATTTTGATTTGGTAGAAATTGGAACATATTTAAATTTAATATATTTTCATTGATCACAGTGGGGTTAAATAAGCTCTGTGTATTCCTAGGTATATGGGTTAATAGTGCCCAAGAGCACGAAGGGCATTGTGGAGACATTAGTCARGCTTTATATGTACTCTGAAGGAATGTCTCCATTTTGCAGATGTTTGAATGACAAACTATGGTAGTCTCAGATCAAAAAGAAAGGTCAACACCTGATTAGTGAATAGGTGGGTCTTGACARTGAGTGCCTGTTCTGCAGTATTTGGCAGCATTGCCCCTGTGACAYCCTCTCTTGATTGTATCCCCCAAGTTTTGCCTCCCTTTATTACCACAACTTAGCTTGGGAAGAAGAGCAGAGATGATCTCGAAGGGCAGGGCTCTGGAGCGGGCGCTCGCACCGCGGGCCCTGCCTCGAGGGGCACAACCACGACCCAAGCGGCACAGGGAGGAGAGGCAGCCCCAGCCGCCCGCGCAGGCAGYGCGAGCCGCGCACCACAGGCRGCTCTGAGGCAGCGAGCGGCRCCCGCATGGGAGGTGGCCCAAGCCCCACATGCACAAGAGCCGCCCCAGGGGAG